AGTTTTGTGGTGTAAACCGTTCTGTGGACATCTCCTGACCACTCACCAGTAAGGAGGCGCTGACTCCTCTCCAATGCCAATGGCTTCAGGAATACTTAACTAGGTCCTATTCAGGTGAGAGAACATTTAGTAAATGACTACGAGGTATAGAGTTCTGTGTTAGGGGCAAGAAACTGGGTCTATCTATTTTTATAAACATGAAAAAATAGCCTTTGCATGGTACCTTAGACAGTTACACAAATGATACCTGCACCATTGGTTGATTCCCCTGCACTGAGGAATTCTTATGAGTAGCACATTCTAGGGGGAAATGCATTTTCAACATTCATTCTGTGCTTCTGTTAGAGGCGTTGCAGTCACCCAGAGGAACCTGAGCCTTGAGGGAGAAAGCAGCTGGAACAGGTTCAAAACCCGGGCTATTCCTGGGCCACAAGTACCAGGGAATGTCAGTTTGGTACACAAAAGGCTCAGAGCTCTTGTGTCTGCACTACGTTCTCTTATTCTTTTCGTCCTCCTTTGAGAAGGGTATTGTAGTAAGAAAGACAGACTGCCTCCACTGCAGCCCACCCTGCCCCAAGGTTTAGGGTGGATGGTTTGGGCTAACTTCGGGCTTTAGAGAAGAATACTTTTGTAGCTTTTATTCCTGTGGAGCATTTTTCCTTAGATTCATCTTTAGAAGCCACCTGTTGCTATTAGCAACAAGATGAGCATGTGAGCCTGGGCATCCAGACCCAGTGGGGCCTCCAGACTTCCTGTAACCTAGGCCTTAAGCTAGAAAGTAACGGGGCTCCTTATGACCTGGGTGACCATAAGTGTTGGTTTGCCATGGCCAGACCTGGATTACACATTTGTCCTGTTGTCATATTTAATAACACTTCCTTTTGCTGTGTCCCAATGGTTTGGACAAGGAATTATATGATCCCCTACTTATAATTCATTGACATATAACCTACCCTGGTTTATCAGCACCTTGCCAAAGTTTGGTGCCAAGGCTCTGAATAATAACAGTGTGCATTTATCTAGAGTAACCCCAGCTCCGCCCTAGCTCTCATGAACCTGTGTTCACTATGGAAAACTGGTCTAGAATTTAGGGTTTCAGAAATCTGGCCAAAAATCTTTCCATCTCACATCAGTCCAACATCTGCTGCTGCAAGGGCCTTATTGACAAGACTAAATACGCCACCAAACCATAAATGAAGGTTTAAGAATTGAGGATATAACTTCAAAGTCAAATTTTAAACCGCTGATTGGTTTCTTGACCAATCTTCTGTAGCAAACACGTTAACTGCCAACTTCAGAAAGATAGTATGTTTTCAAATGACCTATTTTACTTCTGAAGAATTAAATAGTGCAGTAGAATGAGGCTGGCCTTGGAGTCAGAACTGGATTTGAAGCCTGCTTATGCTCTTATTTAGCTGTGTGGACCAAGGCAAGTCAATTTACCTTTTCCTGTGTTTTCATGTTTTATGAGGACAAGCACATCTTTTTCTCATGGTGGTGGTTGTAAAGATTTAGATACGATGTTGCTGTATGGAGAGCCTGTTACCTACACTGAACATTTTAGTTTAATTTCTCTTTCTTACTCATAGCTTTGAAGAAAGTAGAATAAAGGGTGGACTGGATTGTTGTTAAGTATGAGGACAAATGTTCTTTAACACTATCATGGGTAAGTGGCATTTCTCCAGCAGGGAGGTGACAAAGTAGCTAAACTCCAGGAGGGGAAGAGTGTGACTAAGCCAGGAATAGCCCTGGACACTCACGGTACCATGTGGACATTGTTAGTGGGTCACCAGGTTAGGATTTGGGACTATAGAAAGGTGTTAGGGGACAGAACCATTGTCCTGAGTTTGTCAGACCCAGAGAAGAACTGGGGCTGTAGCTGTGGTCAGTGCTTCCCTGTGGTCAGGGCTTTCTCTTCCTGGAAGAAGCTTGGCTGTCTTTCAAAGAAGGAACCTCAGTCTATGATTCTGCTGGTCATGGTGCTTTAGAAAGTAGTTGGTCTATGGAATCCTTGCCAAGTACTACAGAGAGCACCCAGTGTCCTGATATGCTTGTTGCCCCTGGTAGATTATAACCTCCTTGAAGGAAACGGTTCTGTCTATGTTTCCTGATCTCTCAAGTTGCAGACTCAGGGTATGGCATGTAAGATGACAGAAAGTGAGGCCTTTAATCTCTCTGGGAAGCTTAATAAAGATTTTATCATCACTTCCTAACTTCCAAAGCATTCTCTACACTGCATCATTGGTATTTTGCCAGAGATGCAAAATTCATCATGTCCCTCTTCCATTCAGGGTCCTTTGGCTACTTATTGTTTATCACCAACTAGTGTTCTCATACCTGTTTCCTTATCTTCAAAATGATGAAAATTATGGGAGGATTGTTTTGAGGTCTAAATGAGTATGTGTGTATACACACATGCCCACACCTGGTTATGTATGTGCTTACTTCTAGCTCACCGAAATCCTCCCTTCTCCACCCTCTGACCCAGCCATTTGAATATCTTTTTTCCACTTTTTCACCATGTTTTTTTCTCTCCCTTAGAATTTTTAACATGCTATTCTCTCTTCCTAGACCTCTCTCTCTTTTTTTTTTTCTTTTTGTGACAGAGTCTCGTTCTGTCACCCAAACTGGAGTGTGGTGGCGTGATTACATCTCACTGCAGCCTCAACCTCCTGGTCTTAAGCAATCCTTCCACCGCAGCCTCCTGAGTAACTGGGACTATAGGCAGTGCCACCATATTCATTTTTACATTTTTTATTTTAATTTTTTTTAGAAATGGGGTCTTGCTGTACTGCCCAGGCTGGTCTTGAAGTCCTGACCTCAAGCAATCCTCCCACCTTGGCCTCCCAAAGTGCTAGCATGTCAGGCATGAGCCACTGTGCCCAGCCCTAGATATTTCTTTTACTGCCTCTCCTGACTTTCTGCTGTTCTTCCTTAAACTTAAATGTTATCTATTCTAAGAAGCCTTTCCTAATTTTCCAAGCGTAGGGTAATATAGTGTTTTTTCTAGGTGCTCATTTCTTAATGAAGCATTTATATCTGTAGCATCTGTAAGTCCTTAAGGTGGCTTAATTTACCGAGCATTGATTACATTGGGTTGTCATTGTCTGTTTACCTGTCAGCCTTTCTCGTACTAAAACTGTCCACTCCATGATGGCAGGAACCTGTCCATATGGTTCACTTTACCTTAGCGCCTAGCCCAGTGTCGGACTCATTAACTCACATTCTAAAATACTGAACAGTATTTCCTAAATGTATGAGTGGATGAATACAGGTTAAGCAGGAAGGTCTGTCCCAGGAATTAAGCTTGGTTGACAAGTGGTTCCAAGTTTCAATATCATGTGTGGAGTAGATTCTTGCTAATTCTTGTATTATGTGTTATTTAGACACTAGGAATCTGGAATTTCAGAATTGACTTCTAATTCTTCAGATAACCTCTTTTATTTTCTCTTAAAACCTTGGTTTTCCTCATGAATGCAAACATAATTGGAAAATTGTTTCGAATTACTTACATCCTTATTTATGATATTTGAAAAACAGCTTTTGTGGGAGCTCAGCTTTGTCCGTAAGAACAAAGGCTTAGCAAGGGAAGACTTCAGTGAACCTGTCCTTCTGTGTATTGGAGAAAGGGAGGTAAATTAGTCATTATCAATTCAAAATTTTCTATAGAACTACAATGCTTCACGGCTGGACTCGTTTCTGTCTTCCTTTATGAAGTCCTTGCAAGGCCATTCTAGGCCATGGTAATCTCATCGAGGTGTGAACCTCACAGATGTTGTTTGTACTACCCCGTCTTAAGTCATTCTTGTATCCCATCATTATTGTATGCCATTATTTGTTTTTCCTGTGTGTGTGTCATGTATCCTCATGAAGCACCGACCTCTAGAGAATAAAGACTTCACCTCACATCTCTTTCAATACTGCCAGCTTTATGTAATGTGGTAATTTTTTACAAAGTGAAATGTGGTGGTGCGCACCTGTAATCCCAGCTACTCAGGAGGCTGAGGCACGAGAATTACTTGAACCCGGGCGGCAGAGATTGCAGGGAGCCAAAATCATGCCATTGCACTCCACCCTGGGCGGCAGAGACTCCATCTCAAAACAAACAAACAACAACAAGAACAAAAGTGAAATATTAAATAAAATCTTCAGGTATAATAAGTGAAAAGATAAGACTGACTCCATTTTAAAAATATATCTGCAAAGAAGACTAGAAGGATAGTAAAGGATATTATAAAATGCACAGCCTGAACTGTGTGTGGATAGTTGATTATGGGTAGCTTGTTTTTTGTAATTTTCTAGATTTTCTACTTTTTCTATAGTCATCTGTTATTTTTGATCAACAAAAAAGTATACATGTTATTATTTTTTAAAGGAAGAGATTTTCATGCCCTATTTAGTGTCAGAAGCCACAGCTGAACTTTGTTGGCAGATAGGAGCAGATGTTGTTTTAAACTGTCTCATTGCAGCAACGTTTATCCATTTGTTAGGACGGTCAGGAGAAGGTGGTGCTAACTGCATTCTTTTGGTGGAAATTTGAAAAGATTTCGTCTGGAAAAGCAGTTAAGGGCAGTGCTACCATGGTGTGTTTCTGAAAGCTATGATTAAGAAGTGGGAAAGTTACATAATACAGAGAAATTCAGATGAAAACTCAATTTTCTTAACAACTCTCTTAGAAAATATTGTTGTGATAATATTGTTCAACCCTCTCTGATTTATCCTGAGCATATCCTTAGGTCTTTGAGACAGGGTTTCATAGAAAACAGTCTGCAGTGCTTTCTGTGAAGTTGGCAGCTAGGACTCTAGCAGGTGCGGCTCTCATAGCAGTTATCTTTTATTGAGCCTTTTCCCAGTCATTTGTCCATTCACTTGCATTTTCTCATTTAATTTTCACAGCAACCAAAAGAGACAAGTATTCTGCCTTTGTTTGAATTGTACTGAAGAGAAACCTGCCTCCTAACAGAGGTTAGCTAATTTGCTGAAAGTGACCCAGCATCGTCAGGGGCCAGGCCAAATGCTCAGTGAGTGTCTGCTCTGCACCTGAGCCTTCTGCTGGACCCGTGATGAACTGTGGCCCATGTCTCCAGAAAGCCAAAATAACCTCGCTGGGGAGAGAGGATATAAAGAGGCAAAAAGAAACCAAGTGAAGAGTCAGGCGACACATTGGGAGAGCAGAGAGGAGCAAGAGCTGGTCAGGCGGCCCTGCCTGGTGTCCAGTGCCTCTGTCCTCCAACCCTGCCCCACCACCTTGTCTTTGTTTGTCCTACGTCCACACTGTCCTCACCTGCCCCTGACTTCCGCAGGTGGTGGCAGCCTTTCCTGCCCATCTCTGCACTCCTGCTGCTCCTCCAGCTGTTAGCAACTGGCATTCTCGTGTGTGTGTCCTTAGTGTGTGCCGAGTCATCGCTTCTACACATTATCTTACTCATTCTTCACAACTGCAACATGAAGTCAGAATTTTCATCCTTGCTTTTCAGAGGAAGAAAACAAGGTTTTGAGAGCTCACAGATCATGTTCAGATGGACAGTTAGGAAGTGATGGGCCTGGGCGTAAATTCCTGTTTTGTCTGATTCCTAAGGCCTGTGACTTTAGGTGCTATAAATGCCTTCTTGCACAACTTTATTTGCCCCACACTGCTCATCCTAAAAGATAAAATGCTGCTCTCCTATGGGAGCCTTTCCTGGTGTCTCCCGCCAGAACTCTCTCGGCCCATGTCCGCCCTTTGCCACCCCTCCTTTACTTCACGGTGATGGGGTCCTGCCCATCTCTTGTTGGATCGTGGGCCCTCTGAGGTGCACTAGTATCCCCAGGTGCTTCGAATGCAGCGGGCACTCAGGACCATCTGGGATTCTGCAAGATGGGGGGTTTCTGGCGCACCTCCATTACTGAGGAGCTCCGGGGAACAGTTGTGAAGAGAAATTTAATTTTGAAATTCCAAAGAACCAGGTTACTGTTCTATTTCCTGCCTTCCTCCCTTAGACTTCATGAGGGGGTGGTTTGGTTGGTGTTTGAAAGCTCTGAGCAGCTGCAGTTTTCATTTCACATTTAAAACAACCAGTGAGTTTTAGTAATTCTAAAGAAGCCTCGGGTGCTGGAGAAGAAGACATGCTCCAGCCAAGGCTGCAGAGGCTTGGAGCCACTAGCATGGATGCAGTCGGGGGAGACAAATGCCAGTGTCACATTCATCAACAGTTCCTTCGCTCACTTCTACGTCTACTGAAAACAGGGAGCTTGGGGTTGAAAAAACGTTTGATGCTTTTGAAATGCGGCAAAATGAAGACCTGGTTGTGGTATGAATATGCATGTCCATGCTTGCCGTGGGGCCACATAAGTGTCATGACACTTGTAACCACAAGATGTCAGTATGGGATCAGTCCTAGGGGTCATAGGCTTCAACTCCTGCTGGCGCGTCTGAGTCAGGAGGAGGACGCTCCGTGGAGGCTGGCTCTCCTCGCCTGTTTCCTTCTGCAGCGGTATTACCCCACAGGCTGCATTTCCGATTCATTTTCCCTGCGCCGTTTTCCATGGGCTCACACCTCATCAGAAAGCTTCTCTTCGTTTTCTCTCTAAGCTTACTTTCCTCACTCCTACTTATGTCCCAAGTCACCTTAGGAATTCCCCCATTTTGGTGTTATCTCAGCACTCTACTTTAAAAATTTGCAAAAGGATATAAGTTCCAGCATAGTTTTATCTCTTATCTAAGGAGGGTTTTAAGTAGTTCAGCCTGAGAAAAAAAATGGTATCTCTAGTAAGAACAGCACTGTTGGGATGTTTTTTCTTTTTTGGTAAAAGCTTAACCTATAGGGAAAATAGCTGGAACTCATATTAACTGAGCAGAGCAAGCAAAAGAGGGAGCAGTGGTGTTCAGGGCAGAACATGTATCTGTTGAGGCATTTCTGTGCAACATAGGGAGGCTTTTGTAGCCCTCAGAAAGAGGTAGGTATATTGCATCCATTATTCTGATGAAGAAAGATGAATTATAATACCTTTCCTACAGCCAGTTAGCTACTAGTTGGTAAACTAGTGGCATAGCCTGGAAACTAGTGGCATAGGCTGGAAACTAGTGGCATAGCCTGGATTTGGAGTCAGGTCTGTTTGTCCCCAGAGCCTGTGACCCCCAAAAGCCTGGGAGTGTTACTCTTGTCTCTATCATAAAGCAAGGAGGAGCCTTAAGAGTCCATTCAGGGGAAGGCGGAGCAAGATGGCCGAATAGGAGCAGCTCCAGTCTCCAACTCCCAGCGCGAGCGACACAGAAGACCGGTGATTTCTGCATTTTCAACTGAGGTACTGGGTTCATCTCACTGGGGAGTGCCGGACGATCGGAGCTGGTCAGCTGCTGCAGCCCGACCAGCGAGAGCTGAAGCAGGGCGAGGCATCGCCTCACCTGGGAAGCGCAAGGGGGAAGGGAGTCCCTTTTCCTAGCCAGGGGAACTGAGACACACAACACCTGGAAAATCGGGTAACTCCCACCCCAATACTGCGCTTTAGGAAACAGGCACACCAGGAGATCATATCCCACACCTGGCCGGGAGGGTCCCACACCCACGGAGCCTCCCTCATTGCTAGCACAGCAGTCTGTGATCTACCGGCAAGGCAGCAGCGAGGCTGGGGGAGGGGCGCCCGCCATTGCTGAGGCTTAAGTAGGTAAACAAAGCTGCTGGGAAGCTCGAACTGGGTGGAGCTCACAGCAGCTCAAGGAAACCTGCCTGTCTCTGTAGGCTCCACCTCTGGGGACAGGGCACAGTAAACTAAGACACACAGACACCTCTGCACAGACGCAAACGACTCTGTCTGACAGCTTTGAAGAGAGCAGTGGATCTCCCAACACGGAGGTTGAGATCTGAGAAGGGACAGACTCCCTGCTCAAGCGGGTCCCTGACCCCTGAGTAGCCTAACTGGGAGACATCCCCACTAGGGGCAGTCTGACACCCCACACCTCACAGGGTGGAGTACACCCCTGAGAGGAAGCTTCCAAAGCAAGAATCAGACAGGTACACTCGCTGTTCAGAATATTCTATCTTCTGCAGCCTCTGCTGCTGATACCCAGGCAAACAGGGTCTGGAGTGGACCTCAAGCAATCTCCAACAGACCTACAGCTGAGGGTCCTGACTGTTAGAAGGAAAACTATCAAACAGGAAGGACACCTACACCAAAACCCCATCAGTACATCACCATCATCAAAGACCAGAGGCAGATAAAACCACAAAGATGGGGAAAAAGCAGGGCAGAAAAGCTGGAAATTCCAAAAATAAGAGCGCATCTCCCCCGGCAAAGGAGCGCAGCTCATCGCCAGCAACGGATCAAAGCTGGACGGAGAATGACTTTGATGAGATGAGAGAAGAAGGCTTCAGTCCATCAAATTTCTCAGAGCTAAAGGAGGAATTACGTACCCAGCGCAAAGAAACTAAAAATCTTGAAAAAAAAGTGGAAGAATTGATGGCTAGAGTAATTAATGCAGAGAAAGTCCTAAACGAAATGAAAGAGATGAAAACCATGACACGAGAAATACGTGACAAATGCACAAGCTTCAGTAACCGACTTGATCAACTGGAAGAAAGAGTATCAGCGATTGAGGATCAAATGAATGAAATGAAGCGAGAAGAGAAACCAAAAGAAAAAAGAAGAAAAAGAAATGAACAAAGCCTGCAAGAAGTATGGGATTATGTAAAAAGACCAAATCTACGTCTGATTGGGGTGCCTGAAAGTGAGGGGGAAAATGGAACCAAGTTGGAAAACACTCTTCAGGATATCATCCAGGAGAACTTCCCCAACCTAGTAGGGCAGGCCAACATTCAAATCCAGGAAATACAGAGAACGCCACAAAGATACTCCTCGAGAAGAGCAACTCCAAGACACATAATTGCCAGATTCACCAAAGTTGAAATGAAGGAAAAAATCTTAAGGGCAGCCAGAGAGAAAGGTCGGGTTACCCACAAAGGGAAGCCCATCAGACTAACAGCAGATCTCTCAGCAGAAACTCTACAAGCCAGAAGAGAGTGGGGGCCAATATTCAACATTCTTAAAGAAAAGAATTTTAAACCCAGAATTTCATATCCAGCCAAACTAAGTTTCATAAGTGAAGGAGAAATAAAATCCTTTACAGATAAGCAAATGCTTAGAGATTTTGTCACCACTAGGCCTGCCTTACAAGAGATCCTGAAGGAAGCACTAAACATGGAAAGGAACAACCGGTACCAGCCATTGCAAAAACATGCCAAAATGTAAAGACCATTGAGGCTAGGAAGAAACTGCATCAACTAATGAGCAAAATAACCAGTTAATATCATAATGGCAGGATCAAGTTCACACATAACAATATTAACCTTAAATGTAAATGGACTAAATGCTCCAATTAAAAGACACAGACTGGCAAACTGGATAAAGAGTCAAGACCCATCAGTCTGCTGTATTCAGGAGACCCATCTCACACGCAGAGACATACATAGGCTCAAAATAAAGGGATGGAGGAAGATTTACCAAGCAAATGGAGAACAAAAAAAAGCAGGGGTTGCAATACTAGTCTCTGATAAAACAGACTTTAAACCATCAAAGATCAAAGAGACAAAGAAGGCCATTACATAATGGTAAAGGGATCAATTCAATAGGAAGAGCTAACTATCCTAAATATATATGCACCCAATACAGGAGCACCCAGATTCATAAAGCAAGTCCTTAGAGACTTACAAAGAGACTTAGACTTCCATACAATAATAATGGGAGACTTCAACACTCCACTGTCAACATTAGACAGATCAACGAGACAGAAAGTTAACAAGGATATCCAGGAATTGAACTCATCTCTGCAGCAAGCAGACCTAATAGACATCTATAGAACTCTCCACCCCAAATCAACAGAATATACATTCTTCTCAGCACCACATCATACTTACTCCAAAATTGACCACGTAATTGGAAGTAAAGCACTCCTCAGCAAATGTACAAGAACAGAAATTATAACAAACTGTCTCTCAGACCACAGTGCAATCAAACTAGAACTCAGGACTAAGAAACTCACTCAAAACCGCTCAACTACATGGAAACTGAACAACCTGCTCCTGAATGAC